AGGTAATTCTGAAGACACCATTTTTACTGTGGAGCAGTATGCATTACTCTCCCTTGGTTCCCAAGGCTTGATTTAAATTAGAACTTTAGTAAAATTGTGATAAAGTATCCTGGTAATCTGTGATAAGGTTACAAAATATTGTACAGACATTTTTGTTTGTTTCTTTCTTTCATTGGTTGGATATATAACAAGAGCCATATTTATGTTGAGGGATTTTGCCTTTGAAATCTGGGTCAGCTAGCAGACCCTAAGGTGGTAGTAGCATGAAGATGTTTTCTCTTTTAATGAAAATGGAGCCAAAATGATGAATATGATTAACATAAGAGGGATTTCAAGGGATATGAATGTGAAGGGTTTTAGATAATGCTCAAGCAATTGCATAGGAATTATACACTGAACAATCTAGATTCTAGACCTTTTGATTCACTCCCCTTTCTATTAGGATCCCCCTTCCTAAATGAATGAGATGGGAAGGTTCCACTTGCAGGTTTGAATGACAATTCATTAGTTTATTATTTAAAGATTTTTCCTAGGTGACCAGAGATTTTGTAAATGTTAGTTCATTTTCTGACTAATAGTACTTCTAGAATTCTCACCCTATGAGGGGCCTGAGAGAATTAATTAGCCTATGTGGTTTAGAACTGATTTGATGAAGAAAATTATTTCTGAGATATCAAAGATCTGTTAATTCTTTTAGGCAGGAATAAAACTTGTCTCTTCCTCCACTAATTGATTTTATCAGAAAGATAACACGTGATTTAGGTATCAGTACCCCACTCTTCTTTCCATTCATGTTTCATCTTTTGTATATCTAGAGCTCAGTACACCCTACTGCTGAAGAAATAGTTAAATTTTTATTCACTACAAATGCCCAGGAGTCATAAATTCCTATGCATACTTGGACAAGTAGGAAATGCAAATAGGTGAGGAGACTGGGTGTAAACAAGAGATAGAGGAGTCTGGTGAACTCCTCCATACAGTTACTCAGCTCCAGAGATTTTGATGATGCAGAAATGTGATTTTAGAGTTGTAAGATATTCTAGGGTTTTCAAGAGAAGTCAGAAGTGTGTTGGGTTGGGGAGTGGGGGGGTAATAAAGCTGGGCAGGTGTCGGGGGGCGGGGAGAAGAGGGGAGAGGAAGTTTCCTTGATTTTTAAAACACTGTGATGGAAACACATCTATGGCCCAGGTTTGGCCCATGGGCTACCAATTTATAATCCCTGATAAAAATCATCATCTTCAGATGTGTTGTAAATTTTTTTCCTTGTATTAATGCACTATCATCAAGGTAAAATTATTTGCATTTTTACAGGCATTAGCACTAACTTTTAACTACAGTATGAGCAATGATGATCAAGCAGGGCACATGTTTCTTCTACATATGTATCTTAACAATAAAAATGAAACCATACAACCAGAAGGTACTGCTGTCTCAAGACATGAGAGTAGCTTCACTAGTGTTGTGATTTGAAATAATTGTATTCTAATAATCTCTGTGACTTACACAACACAAGTTTATTTCTCACTCATTCTGTGTCCAACATGGTCACCAGGATATCTGTATTTATTATTGTCACTCAAAAGTTTAAGCCAAAAGAAGTTTCATTTCACCAAGTACATCTGCCATCACTAAAGTAGGAAAAGAAGACATAGCAAATCCCATATGGTTCCTAAAGCTTCTATCCAGGAGAAATATGTACAACTTCTGTTTTTGCTTATTTACCTTAAAGTTTACCTAAAGAAATTCCTGAAAATATAAATTTTAGGTAGAACTTAAAAAAAGAAGAGTTGGGAGGGAAAAGCTTTATGATTTGGCATAATATTTATTGATCTATATTTGGTTCCTGACTTTGGATACATGTTTTTATGTGCATTTTCTGACTTAAACCTCACAACAGTCTTATGTGTGGGTATGAGCTAGGTGATACTCCCATAACAAATATCCTCACAATCTCTGTGACTTAACACAACCCAAATTTATTTCTTACTTATTCTATGTGTCCATCGGAAGATATAGTAAAGACTCTAAAAAAATCATGTGTTTGCAGAGGAATAGACAAACAAATCAGTGGAACTGGATGTAGAACCCAGAAATAAATTCCAAAAATAAAGATAATAATCCAAATCAATGGGGAAAGGTAAAATGTTTTTAAATGGTATAAAAGGAGCAAGTTGAATTCATATATAAAAATAATTTCAAGAGGATTAAAAACTTATATAGATAAAAAAAATTGAACTGAGAGTAGCTTAGTAGTAGAGCACATACATAGCACATGCAAGGCCCTGAGTTCACTCCCTAGCACCAAAAAGAAAAAAGAATAGACATTCTTCAAAAATGTACATGTATGGGAGAATCTCCAATACTTAAGACAGTAAACCTAGAAGCTAAAAAAGAAAATATGTGTATATTTAGCTATCTTAAGATGCATACAAGAAAATACAATTCATAGAGGAGCATAACCAGATGGTCTACAAATTTACAAAAAGACATTTAAATTCACTAGTATTTAGGGAAATGTAGGTAATACAGTAACAAAAAGGTTTATTATCCTCAGTTTGGCAAAAATAAAAGAGTGATAACATCCATTTTGGTATGACTGCAGGGGGGAAATGGTGCTCTTGTTGAGAATGAGAATTGTTATAATCACTTTTGGAAAACAATCTGGCAACATTTATTGAAATTAAGTGTTCATATAACTTTGACTTAGAATTCATACCTTTGGAAAACTACTTATAAAAATAAAAACCCTAGAACACAGGGACGCATAGCCTAGGTTAATCCCAACATATCAGAAAACTGAAAACAAAGTAGATCTCAGTACATGCACAGCATATAAGTAGGTAGAAAATGAAGTAGAACTATACTGTTAACTTGGGGGGATTCTTCTGAGATATTTTCTATTGAAAATTTAAAATGTAGAAAAGGGTATATAATATGATCTTGTTTTCCTAAAACCCTATGCATAGCAATGTATATACATATATAGGTATACAAATCCACACTATATCCATGGACATATAGTCATAGATAAGGATATATAAGTACATGGATAAAATATGCAAAAATAGAGGCTAGTTTGATAGCATAGGTTATGATGGGGGTGGAAGGAACAGGAAAAGAGATGGGAAAGGAGGAGTTTTACCAAAAGGTGAGAAGAAAAAATAGTCTATACAAAAAAAAACACCCCAACATGTATGCTATAATCCCATTCATTTGTTAATGCAAAGATTTATATATAGTGTATATACATAATTTCTGAATATGATAAAAATGCAAATCTGTGTGTATAAGAACAAAGGAAACATTACAAACTAATGTTACTTGACTATAATTTAGGCAAAATTGAAAGAGGTCCATCACTTATACTGTCACACACTAGGGAGGACTTAAACTTTACCACCTGATGGCAGGTGCTTCCCAGATGATGGCATCCATATAGGGAAAGCTTCCCTTTTGTGAAAGGATACTAATGTGGCTGTGTATTGTTGAATCTTTAAAGAATATGGCTCTGTGTCAGCCAGATCCACTTATCCCTACTCTTCAGTTTTGTCAGAGAAAATAATCTCAAATTCAGATTTCAGATTCCCATCACTTTGTTTTACTAATGATCTAAACCTCTAAGGCCTCACTGTTGATGCAGCAAGAACATTTGACTCCGTCTAGTGCCAGTCCAGCAGTACACACTCAATGACTTGGGGCAAGTCATTTTGTTTTCTACAACCCATCTTCTCATAATCTCACATATGATCTCAGAAAGCCCTATTCTTTTGCTTAATAGCACTTAAAAATCTGTAATTGTATGTGTATGATTATTTGTCTGATTGCTTGTCTCTCCCACTGAAGCATAATCTCTATATGGATAGGAACAATATACTGTAGACCTAAGACCTAGCATGGCAACTGGTGCAAACTCACATTCAATACAAGTTAATTGATTTAATGAATGAGTAAATATATAAAATGAAAAAAAAACTCAAGTATTACACCAGCTCTAACCATATATGATTTTATAAATATGAGGAAGCTTCGATTTTTGAAATCAGACTGTAGTTCTGTCCATTTGCCCAGACATCATTTAATAGATTAAATGCTTAAGTGAGGGTGATTGTTCTACACAGTTACTCTGAAAAAAAATTGAGCTACTAATCACCATCTCATATATTTTAAAGGGAATGCAAGATACCATTTAACTCATAGCTTTGCCCCTTAGCAGAACTACAGTTCAACAAGGTAAATATTTGCTGTATATTTCAAAAAGATTTCAATCTCCCTTTCTATATTTACCTGGATCTTGACAAACAAAACATGGAAGGAAGAGGATTTAGAACTATCTAGTCCAGTGATTTTCAAACCATATTTTAGCAGTAGAATCCTGTTTTTTCAAAAAGAAATCTTACCTAGAATATGAATAGGTCAATATTTATATCTATCTAAATAGATAACAGGGAGGAAAGGAAAGAAGGAGGGAGGGAGGGGGAGGAGAAGGAGAAAATATATTCCTCAGTGGAAATGAGAAAAGGAACTACAGAAACCTTCCTCTCAGGCTTTGGTCCTAATATTCATATTGGGCTCCTGATTCACTACCCTTGCTGCCCCCACTGCTCCCTCCACCTGTTCAGCCTGACCATGGTGCCCCATAATGCATCATTAAGACCAGCAGTCTGTAAATAGGTTGAAGGACTATCTTCTGAAAAATAAGGAAACTAAGACTTGCATCATATTCTCCTTTAGATTTCCAGATTCTTCTTGCCAGAAGTAAACCCTTTACTCTTTGTTTCCTGATAGTAGATTATTCTGCACAGTCTTCCTCAAAAGACTCTTATACAGATTACATTATCATTGTTTCTTATTATAGTGGAATGGCATAATTTAATTTTTTCATATAGTTTTATTTCAACAATTCTTTTAAAATATAAAATTTTTATAAGTACTGCTTTCCAATTACAAGAAGCAGAAAATTTAAAGAATGAAAAATAATATTGACCTTTATAATTACATGCTTAAATTTTGATCATGTTTATTGTGATGCCACAGAGGTAAATTAAAAGAGGATATCATTACACATTATAAAATGAAACAAAAATCTCCTTATCCAAATGGAGAGGATGTAGACGTGGTTACTTAATATAAAGCAAAAGCTATGTCTATCAAAGAACAGACTTGCAGTTATTGATCTGGAATTGGCACGATGACAAACTGCTCTGCAATTCTTCCTCTTCCCAATTAAGGTGTCTCTCTTGAACTGATTGAAAGCTGTTTGATAAGTATACTTTTTTCAAGATGGTGTGCTCAGTTGGGGGTCTTTTTATTAAACTGAAATTCCATCATTAGCTTTGACTAGCACCAGCTGCTGTATAAATTCTGTGTTGATGTAGACCTCCACTGGTATTCCAAATATTGCAGGTGAATCTCTGACTCCAAAATCTTCAATCATGCAGTATGAATAATTAACATCTGATAAATGCAGAATAGAAAGGACTCTCATTATAAGACATGATACTGGGGTCACAATTCCACCTTCATTCCTCAGAACACTAAACCAAAGAGGATTTTAGTTGTAAAAAAAAATAGTGTTTAAATCTTTCCACTTCCTAATCTTTCCCTATTCTTACTTAGAAACGAAAAGTTAGAACATAGATGAAATGTCTATACCTAATCAGAAACAAAAAGTTAGAACATAGATGAAATGTTTTAGTTTTATAGAAAAGTTAAAGACACAATCCAAGCTCCTGCACGTTCTGGTGTTTACCTGAAGGCCCTTATTCCAGATAAATTCCCATGCATATGAGGCCCATGATCCTTCTCATGTCTATCACTTTTTGGGGGGAGGTGGGGAGTGGAGAGGATTGAACCAGGGTCTTGTGCATGCGAGGCAAGCACTCTATTAACTCATCTATATCCCCAGCCCCCGTGTCTATCACTTTTAATATAAAAGAGAAACTCTATTCATATATCTAATACTTCTAGGAGGTATATAGTAAAAAAATATAGTAAAAAACAGGACAGTTCCTTACAATATTGAATTTATAAAAGCATTTACCTTGTGTGCAAGGTGTGCCAAGTAAGATTTTTCCTAAATGTATTAGTTGTGTTACAGAAGATATATTTTAAACCAGTTGTAAATTTGAAACCATGAAATAACAAAAAATATTAAAATAAAACATGTCATGATCCGTGGTAAAGAACAGAATGTTCAAGAGTTCAATTCCTGAGCCTTAGTTTCTTCATATGTACAATGGGGATATTAGTAAGTATCAGATTTGGGAGATTATTTTTAAGCACTGAGACTATGCACATATAGTATTTAGTGTAGCACAGTGTATTTGTTTTCTATTTCTTCATAAAAAAAATTACCACACCCTTACTGGCTTAAAACAACAACCATTTTTTATTTCATAGCTTTTGTACGTCAGGGAATGAATTAGACAGGTCCTCCACTCAGGGAATCACAAGGTTGCAATCAAGTGTCTCCTGGTTTGTATTCTCATTCAGTCTTGACTGAGGAAGGTACCCCTTCCAAGTCCACTTATGTTCTTGACAGAATTATTTCTTTATGGCTCTAGGACTAAGAATCCAAGCTTCTGCCCCAGTTTCTTCATCATGTGGGCTTTCCCAACATGGCTGCTTACTTCATCAAGCCAGCAAGGAATATAAAATAAGTCTTCTAGCAAGACAGAGCCTTATATTATGTAACACAATTACAGAAAAGACACCCCATCATTTTTACCATAATGTTGGTTAGAAGCAGGTCATTAGACTTGTCCACACTCAAAGTGTGAACATCAAGAAGCAGGGATCATTGAGGGTCATCATTGAGTCTGTGGCCACCTATAGTAAATGAAAACATGTGAATTTGTGAGTGAATGAATAAAAGAGAGTGAAACTAGGTGTGAATGATGTTAAGTCATATGCCTCTTGAACAACAGAAAAAAGAAAATTGTTCTGAATATAGGATAAACAGATGAACAATAAACTGCACAACTTTAGTCATAACAAGTATTCAACCTTCTGTTAAGGAAGAATGATAGGGAAGAAGTACCGGGGGACTGGGGCTGGGGCTCAGTGGGAGAGTGCTTGCCTAGCACATGCAAGGCGCTGGGTTTGATCCTCAGCACCACATAAAAATAAATAAATAAAGATATTGTGTTCAACTACAACTAAAAAAAGAATTACCAGGCATGAGCTTTGGAGTCCAGAGAATGTCAGAGTGGTGGGAAATGGAACCCTAAAGGAAGAATACAGCTTTTAGTCCCACTTTAAAGTGATAATTTCTACAATTAGAGCAAAAGGAGAAATAAGAAATAAAATTAAATAATAAAATATAGATATATAACATTTAAAGTCTAAGCAATAAAAAATTAACAATTAAAACAAAAAAAGTTCACCATAAACAGAAAATAGTTATCATCTCCAAACATATAGATAAACACTACCAATATCCCCAGTGGATAAATGGGTAGAGAATATGATTATATTATTCTATCAGAGGAAATATGAAAGGTAAAATAAATTTAAAAAGCAGTTTAAATCTAATATAGATGGGACAGAGACAGTACAAACAAACAACAACAAAAATTTAAGTACCAAATCATAATTTTTACTTCTCTAGCTGATTACCTCAAGATGAGAGATCAAACAAGGAAATAAACTGCATTTGTATTATTCACCAAACACCTAGAAAAACTTGTAACTCACCCTGGGCAGATGAATATTTGATGATAATTAATTCACAGGTAGTCAGTGGTAAGAGAGTATGGATGACTGCTGTCCTCAGATAATAAAAAAAAAAAACTTCTTTTCAACATCATAGGTTCATATTAACATGAAGCTAACGTGGGGGGTGGAGGGAAATTATTTAGAATTCTTCCAAATTTACTTTAATCCTCTGGTGGCTGGAAAACATAAAACAGATACAGATCAGACTCAGGAAGGACAAGAACACTATACAAATGGGCCAGATTCTGCACAGGAAGAGATTCTGCCAAAGGATAAAGTTAGGGTCTCTACTTAAAACTTTCTTATGACAATGCCTTGGTTTCTGCCAACCTCCTTCCTTGTGGCTTTAGTACTGTTCCTGGACCTGGAACAGGAGTGGTAACAAAGGAAGGTGTTCTGCTTTTCCCTCTCTCCTAAGCTTGTACTGGGTAGACTGGATATTAGTTTTTATGCCAATGATAATATGCCCAATATATTTGTTTACAGTTATCATCAGATCTTTTTAAGGAATAAGCTATAGTGTGCCTTGTGCCATGTCCAGGAATGGAAAGTCCAATGGTTAAATGAATAATAGTAAATTAAATATTTTTTTGTTGTTAATGTTATTTTTATCTTCAATGGGAGTGTGGCAGACAGGGATGGGTTTGTCCCTGGAATATAGATGGTCTCTTTAGTGATGTCAGGGAAGGCAGGCCCTTATGAGACAGCTGCAACACAGAGTGAGTGGAGGAGACAGCCACAGAAGCACAGTACCTAGCAGTGCTAAGTGACAAATGGGCAGCACCTGGTGTCTGAAGTCTGACAGCTATGGTTAGGGCCTGTGGTTTCCAAACAGAACTCCAAGCTGACTAGCCACAAGAGATTTCTGTAAGCTCTTCAAACCAATGCCAGCCACCTTCACTGATTTGGGGCAGGATTAGTCTGGGGCCTGAAGCAGGGCTGGGGGGGACAAAAAAGAAATATGGCAAATGTGAGTGAAGAGGAAAATGAGGAAGGAAGTTAGAGAGCCCAACGTGTGGTAGTTACAGTACCTTTCTGAGAATTGCCACTTGTTATGCTCTGGAAAAGAGGAGGGAATCGATTACAACAGAGACTTTCAGAAGGAATGGGCACACCACACATTCATTCTTTACATTTGGCCCAGGTGAAGGTTGGATGTCCCAGCTAGTCCCCTCTGATCTCTTCCCCTCCCTCAGGCTGATCCTCTAAATTATCTCGACTCTTTACCTCGATTCTTCAGAGGTCCATCCCTGGGGTAATAATTTGCACTCAGTGAATCTTCAACATGCATGCCGCATCATCAGCACATCTTCCTTGGACTGTGAACTTCTATGCAGTGACCAGATCTATGTAGTTCTCTTAAAAGAGTATATAACACTATAAACAATTGCAGGGTTAATATTTTTAAGATGAAGAAGCTAATACTACTTATAAAAATGTAAAAAGAGAGACTCATAAAGCCATTCTTTTTTTCTTTCTTTTTTTTTTTTTTATACAGTACTGGGAATTGAACTTGAGACTCATCCATGCTAGGCAAAGGCTGTACCACTGAACTACATCCTCAGCACTAGCCGTTCTTTGTGTGTGTGTGTGAAAGCTCAATTGAACCTGAAAAAATAGTACTCTGTTGGTGAGAAAACAACATCATCTCCAATTCTTAAATTGAAACTAGCTTTCTTATGCTTTTTAAAATATTTGCCATCACAGTCCCACTTCCAGAAGCCTAGTGTAAGGGAATAATCAGCAAAGCAAAGAAAAATGTATGTGTAAACACATGCAAACCTATGTGTCTAAGTATGGGAAGATGGCCAAGTGAAACTTGGAACACCTGTAGGAAAAGGAATATCTGGCAGTTATCAAAAATCACAGTTAATAACTTTAACAGGAAAATGCTTACATTAAAATAGCAAGTGAAAAAAGTACAGTATGTTTTCAACTATGTTTTTCTAAAGCACTGGAAAGAAATATACCAGAATACTAAAAAACAATCACTACTTCCTCCCAATAATGGTGAGGAGGGGTTCTAAATAATGACAGAAATGGCTTATGTGTGAGCAATGAGGAAACAGGATGTGTCAAATGGAGCTAAATAAAGGGAAACGTAATTGTTTTTTGAATGCTGTGTGAAAGTCCTAAACAGAGTATCTAATGCCATTAATAATTGTTTTTAATAATTGAAGATGTTTATTGGAACAAGTCTCTGGGGAGAAGAGAACTTTTTTTCTACAATGAACAAGAATATGCCATATTGGCTTAGTGAAGGAAACTGAGAGCTAAGAAAGTCTGAGTGAGCACATGAGACAACTCAGGTATAACAAGGAGCCTATTGCCTCTGCTGAGCAGCTGAATAAGAATCAGGATGCAAGTAAGAAGTTGTGAAATGAAACTCACTGTAGGCATTGTGGACATATGTGGGAAGAAGGTATAGGTAAGACATTAGGCCAGTCTTAGTTTCTAAACTTAAATGTCCATCTGGAATTACATGGGTGACTTCTAAAACTACAGGTGTGCAGTCAGGAAGGCCCGGGCCAATGTACTCATAGCAGATGGTAGATAAGAACAAAATGAGACATAATAGGGGAAAGGATGGCTCTCAGCAAGGCAGTAGATAGATAAGGGAAGGAACTAACAAGGCACATGCATGCCATGTGGTCTCACTCATTTATCCCTCACAACAGTGGTCCCTAACAAATCTGGGTTTCTCTATCTAATCCCCATTTATTCCTTCTCCTGCTTGCATTTGCAACTTCTGCCTTCGTACTGATGCATCTCTGAAACATTTACATGTTCTTACTCATTCCTTGCTCCCCTTCCAACTGCTGCACCCTGACTCTATCATCTTCAAAGTCCTAATGCTCTGATTACCCACAAATGATTATTTCATGCCCGTATACCCCTCCACTCCTACCATCTGTCTCCTATGTCACCTTCTTTCTAAAGTTACTTTCACCAATGTCAGCAGAGACCTCCTCTGGGTAAAATTGATTGCATGTTTTCCATTTTTTTTTTTTTACCTTACATGAATTTTTGGCCACTTTAACCTCTGAAATTCAATTTTAGATTTATTTGTCTAGCTACTTAATGAATATCCCCAGCCCTTCTATTTTATTTTATTTTATTTTTTGTGGTACTGGGGTTCGAACCCAGAGCCTTACACATGCTAGGCAAATATTCTACCTTTGAGCTGAATCCCTAGTTCTTTTTATTTTATTTTGAGACAAGGTCTCATTAAGTTGCACAGACTGACTTTGAACTTACAATTCTTGCGCCCTAACCTCCTAAGTAGCTGGGATTATAGACCTGTGTCACCATGCTCAGCCAACCCACAGTTGCTTTAAAACTCAAATTCAATGTATTCCAAGCTGAATTCATTCTCGCCCCCACCAGATCTGCTCCATGTTCTCTATTTAAGTTATGTCCAAAGATATAAATGTGAAGTGCTAAAAAAATTGTCATGTTATATATAAAGAAGTAAAGCTATGGGCTGGGGATGTAGCTCAGTTGGTAAAGTGCTTGCCTTGTATGTACAAGGCCCTGAGTTCAATCCCCAGCACCACACAAAAGAAAAAAAAAAAAGAAATAAGAGAAGTAAAATCATAAATGGAAAAAATTATTATAAACATCTAAGCAGATTCTATCTATCTTGAAATAGATTTGTAGGTAATACATTTCTCCTCCAATTTAAGGAAGTCAAAACAATCAAAAAACTATATTATGGGAGCTGAGGTTGTGGCTCATTAGTAGAGCACATGCCTAGCACATTCGAGGCCCTGGGTTTGATTCCCAGCAACACATAAAAATAAATAAAATGAAGGTATTGGCTCCAACTACAAGTACAAAATAAATATTTTTTAAAAACCTATAAATTATGGATATGATTTATACTGGAAAGATAACTTAAATTAACTAAACAAAAACCTAAAGTTCTTAGTCCTAATCAAAAGACTGGCAAAATAATGCACATTTATATTTTCTTATTGAGATAAAATTCATATAATATACAATTAGACATTTACTAAACTCCACAATTATATAAAAGTGTAATATACTTGTAAAATCATAAATTTTTTAAAAAGTATAAAATTCAGTGGTATTTAATGATTGATGATATTGTGCAACCACCACTCTCTAGTTGCAAGTTTTTTTCATAACCCCAGAGAACACCTTGTACTCTCCCTTCCTCTGTCTCCTGGCAACCCCTAATCTGCTTAAATTGAAATAGAATATTTAAGACAAATAGATAATATTGGTATGACTCTCCACTGACTCTTTTGATTAATCTACTAACTATTGGTCCACCTCAAGTCAGATAAGTGAGCATTTTATGTCCATACAGTTCTGAACTGTAGTCACTTATTTAGCTGTCTGTCCCCCACATTCCAGATTTGGGGTGCTTTGTAGGCAGGGGCCATGCTTAAGCTGTTCCTCTGAATTTTCAACACCTGGCATAATGCCTGGTATACAGTGCCATATTTGCAAGATTAATTCAAAATACCCAAGAAGTTAAGTAATTTATCCATGCACATATAGTTGATATATGATGAATCACAATTTAAGCCTAAATCTCTCTCATAGCACATGAGGCAGTAAGTGAGGCCTGTCTGGAAGGTGAATTTAGGCAGCCATCAAATTAGAGTTAATACTGAAATGGGCTTACTGTGTGCTTGGATACATATTATGTGGACACATATTAAGTTCTGAACACGTTATTTAATCTTCCTACTAACCCTACAAGATAAGTATGATTATTAGTCAAAAACTTTGGAGTGAGAGGCAGAGATGCCTAAATCAAATTAAAGTTTCAAAGGAAACCAGAGGAAGGTTTTGAGTCCATGAGTCATTTATTCAAATGATGGAAAGAATCATCATTTTCTCACTAGAACTGGTTTTAGGAAATGAAGCAAGATGTCTGAAATGGAGCTCTCTCTGACATTTGCCCTCCAAAAAGGTATATGTGCGCACACACACACACACACACACACACACTTCTTGGGATGGATCTCAAAATTCTTGGTTATGATTGTAAAAGATTTGATTTCTATGTTTGCTCTGTTGAATGCCATTGTGTGTCCTGCAGGTACAAACGTATCTACTGTAAACCGGAATACTTCAAGGTCCCACCACACTCTGAATACCCCCAGATTTATGCCTCTCTGAGAGCTGCTGCCTCCTGCACAAGCACCAGGACATCTGCCCTTCTGTTGGACACTGCCACCAAAATTCTGGAACACACACAGGCCAACATTTCTCAGTGGTTTGTGAAACAGTGGAGAAGAATGCCTTTGCATTTACATTTACACTTTGCATTAGATGTTGGCAAATCAATAATGGCTAGCTCTTCAAAGAGGCTTGGGTTCATATATGAATACACGACTAGTGTAACTTCACAACATGTACAACCATAAGAATGGGAAGTTATAATCCAAGTATATGTCAAAATACATTCTACTGTCATGTATAGCTAAAAGAACAAATAAAAAAATTATTTTGAAGAAAAGATGGATCTTCTGGGTTTTATGCACCATCCATTCTCACCCAGGATTCAGAACTGAGCTCACAGAAATCTGGGGCAAATGCAACCAAACCCTAGGTAATTGGAATAACTCTTCTGCTGCAACAACTGGGCCGGGCTTATCCTACTCAATTCCCCTCCCCTAACTGCTTCCCAGGACAGATGATACCAAGTTTTAAAGATGGACACTTTTAGCTTAGAGCTGGAACCCCATCTCACTTACACGAAAGCCCATTGTGTGAAGTAGAGGTCAAAGAAAAGCAATTTGAATCCCTATAAAGGATGGAGCTCAGAGTTTGGTGACAAAGACTAAGATATATTCTGAGTTTTTCTGGAAAAGTTTTGTGTTTTATTCAGAATGTGGGGAAGGAGTTGAGTGAATGGAAATAAAGAAAGGTATAAGAAGTATAATCCTAAAATGTAGAGGTTTAATTTCCATGTTTGTCTTGTCATTGCAAGAACTATTTTAGTGGAATTTTATTAACCATACCACTTCAGGGCCTTGGTTAAGATGCACTTTTTGTGCAATGCCTCTGTATAGACCACTGCATCCCCTTGGGAGAGTCTGACAGAGTGAGGTGAACACTGCACCTTCATCGAGCACAGAGCACACATGAAAACACAAACCGACATCTCTCCAGCATTCCAAATCTTTGGAGGTGGAGTCCAGGATCTTGATTAAGCTCTGTTTCAATTTTACCACCTCTTC